AAATGAAAGTGTTTGCAATTTTCGCTTCTCTGTAGCTGCTACACCTTGTTCTGTTCTATCCCCCCACCCCCATTCCTTTCTAAGTTCTTCCATTTGTAAACATGGAAGCAAAGAAGACACACATTTAGGCTTTTCCTTAGATAAAAGTTAGCAGCATATTGTACATGTGGTTGTGCACTTTAATGTTTGGAAAGGATAATTTATAATTTGGTGTTTAATAAAAGTTGGCTGCTGGTATCAGAGAGAGAGGTGTGAATTGGTGTGTTTTGTGTGTATTTGAAAATAGTTTATTTTTAGAGGACTGCTTCTTATTTGGTTCTTCCAAATCTTTGCTCAAGATTGGAAGCTGTAACTAGCCACTTGGTTGTCTCTCAGGTCTGTTCTTTTGCTCTCCAAAACAAAAGAATGGACCATTGCTAATTACTTAGGCTGATTGCATTTTGTATTCTGTTGCCATCATCTCTTAGGTTGTAAGAAATTTTTTCCTTTCATTCTATGCTTTTCTCATGTTTTCTGTGGACTTCATGAGTTCCTTTCACAATAGCGTGACAGTCTTCTGCTGACCTTAGTTCTTCTACCCTGAGCCTGCTTCAGTTTACCTATATGTTGATTCCAGTTAGGTTGCACCTGCTAGTATTATTGCTCCCTTCATTTTCTTTAGACCAATTTGAAGACATCTCTGTTCTCCTCTCTTACTCCATGAGATTCTGTCCTTGTCAAATTTCCCTATCCTACCAGTTTTATGATGGTCCACATTTAGCATCTAAGCAATGTTTTTAAAGTTTTTAAAACCTGAAACCAGTGGATTCAGGAATTTTAGAGAGTGGTAGAAACATTTGAAAAGTCCACCAGTTGCTCACAGCCGTATTGCAATACACTTCTTTTTAACAGATTGACCCTTTTACCCACGCTGGCAGTGTTGTTTATGTTTCTGTAATATAAAAAGTTCAGACTTCACTTGATAGCATTTTCCTACAGTTTTGCATCATTGACATGTTTCTGCTTTCTAGAATTGCCTCAGTTATTTTCATTGTTGTTTAATTCTGTTGCTGTTGGGCAATTTATTACTCACTTATTATTTAGATCATTTCCTGGTTTGGGTATTCTAGATTAATGTCTTTGTGAATTTTCCTGGGCCTCACTAGCACTGGAGCAAGAGTCTTCAGTGGGAAAAGGGGGACTTCTGGGAGTGTCCTATGTGCACACTTGATCTTCTTGTATTAGATTATTTCACTAATACGTGGCTAATAGTAAGTCCTTGTTATCTTTTTTATAAAACAATGTAAAATAAAACAACATTGTAGGGGAATGATTTCTTCCTTTTTTAAAAAAATATTTATTTGTATTGTGTGTGAATGCGTTTTTGTATATATTTGTGTGGGCATGCACATTCATGACACACATGTGAAGGTCAGAGGACAACTTGTGGGAGTTGGTTCTCTCCTACCACAGGGGTCCTAGAGATCCAACTCAAGTCCTCAGGCATGGCAGTCCCCTTTATACTGCTGACCTATCTTATAGTGGCAGTTAATGAGGCAATTTCACATACTTTATCTGATAGTCCAAAGGGGTTTATTTTGAGTCAGCTTACAGCAAGCAAAGGGGTTGGTTATGGGATCCAGGACAGGTGAGGAACAGTCCAGTGCAGTTCTCTGGAGAACTCTGACTTGGTCTGCAGTCCAACATCCAGGATCACTAGGTAGCCAAGAGAGTGAGCACAGATGAACTTCAGTTCTTACAGGATCCCCGTCTCCACCAGTCCGTGTCTCGGCCATGCCCCGGGTGGGGGCAAGTACTTAGCAGTTACCTGCTGCCCACTAGGGTGGTGCTTCAGGGGTGAAGCACAGACAACCACTCCTATACCATTTCACTAGCCCAAGAATCATTTATAAGATTTTTTTAAAAAATTGAAATTGCTTAAACTAGTATGTTGTCCCATTCTTGCTTTTTCCATTTGGTATTTTCTTAAACACACAAAGCGAGCAGTACTCTTACTTTTATGTGTTATCTTTCTTCACTTATCCTTTATTTTTATGGGTGTGTGTGTGTGTGAAGGTGTGCATGGTGCATGTGTTAGTTACAGAGTGTGGCGGTCAGAAGCTAGGTTTGTGGAGTTGGTTCTCTTTTTCCACCTTTATGTTGGTTTTGGGGATCAAACTCAGATTGTTAAGCTTACACAGCAAATGTTTTACCCACTGAGCCATCTCTTTGGTACAACTTATACTTTGTTACATAAAAAGGGTTTTTTTGGTGTCTTTTTTTTTTTTTTTCCCCAAGATAGGGTTTCTCTGCGTAGTTTTGGTGCCTGTCCTGGATCTCGCTCTATAGACCAGGCTGGCCTCGAACTCACAGAGATCCGCCTGGCCTAGTCTCCCAAGTGTTGGGATTAAAGGCGTGCGCCACCACTGCCCGGCATTGGATGTCATTCTTTCTCTAAAGTTCATGTTACATATTTTTAACTATTTTATATTGTAATTAGTCCATTTTTTTATTTGGTATAATGAAGTATTTCAGGTTGGGTAACTTTATAGTGGAAAATGATTTTTTTTGGCTTATGGTTCGAAAATCCAAGATCAAGAACTTGCATCTAGTAATGACTTTCTTGCTTTCAGAGCTGTAGGATGGTGCATAGCAGTCATATGGCAAGAGACAGGAGTGCATTTGTGTGCCTTCTCTGAGTTCTTTTTCTCTTAAAAAGCCATTGATATTCAGTCGTGGGTTCCTCCCTGACTACCCTGCTTAGTTTTAATGGTGTTCTAAAGATTATACTTCTAACCTATAGTCATTAAATTGGATGAAGTTTCTAGCTTTTTAAGGCTTTACATTGGGGATTGAATTTCAACACATGGGCTCTGGTATATACTCAAACCATAGCACATATTTAGTCAAAATTACCAATGTAGCTTCATTCGTAATTCTTCTAAAGATGAACTAATATGTTTAATTTAGTGGTATTCCCTGTATTCTTTTGGGCATCCAAATGTACAATAAATTAATTATTCTGGAATCTGGCTGGATTAGTGTCTAAATTTATTTGCAAAATGTGATGAGTGATTGAATGAATGACTGCCAGTAAATAGGTGTTGGTTTTTAAGTAACTTTATTATTTCAGAACTTCACTGTTGATTAGATGAGTACATTGTAGATATCATAGCCAGCCATGAAAATATCCAAAGGAAAAAGAGAAAATGCCTTTTTGTGTAGCCTTCCTAGAAAAGAGAGAAGACCTTACCTAGATATTCTCCAGGAAGAGATTCCTCTCATAGTATGTTGGCTATAACTAGTTTTACCTTATTGCTGGAAAAAGTAATGGAGTACCATGGCAAGCTTAGATCAATTGAGAATTACCCTCTAAAGCTGACTTAGGGACAAGCCTCCATGCACATGTATGTCAGTGCCCAGGAATGTGGATTCTCAAGGGGAAAAACATGGTTTTGTTAGAAAGGAAGAAAAAAATTAGACTAGCAACCAACAATGGTAATAGAATTAAACTACAATGGAAACAAGTAAGATGCTTACAGAAAAATTAGAAGCTTGTTAATGAAGCAAGACTGTAACCAAGAGTGGGCATTGTAATTAGTCTACTTAGTAGATGTTTTTTATAACAGTTGACTTTACATTTGATCCTTTGTGTTCCCAAGATATTAGTTGGCTGATGGAATGGTCCAAATCCTCCTTGTTTTGACCCACCCACAAATCCCTCCTTCCTAAATCTTCTTTACTTTTTTATAGGTGTATCCACATCAGCAATCAAAATGGCATCAACAAGACTTCCTTCCCCTAAAAGCTTAGTGAGTGCCCCTACCCAGATTCTTGCACAGTTTCCTAAACAGCATCAGCAGTCTCCTAAGCAGCAGTTACATCAAGTGCAACAACAGACACAGCAGCCAGTGGCCCAGCCTTCCTCAGTGTCTCAGCAGCAGCCCCAGCAGTCACCATTGCCACCTGGTATCAAACCTACCATCCAGATCAAACAGGAGTCAGGTAACTGGAAGATGTGCATGAGGTCTGCTGGTATCCTCAATTTGCAGTTTTCCTGGTCCTGTAGGTCATTTGCATAGTGTGTCTTCCTGTTTATTTAGATCTTCGGTGTTCTATGGTTTCCAGTAGGACATGCCTATAAATGTTTTTTTAAACTATAGCCCTAAGTGTCTGATTTTCTTCGAGTGACTCTAAATGGTATCATGGTTTTAATTTCCATTTCACTTGTTTATTGTTGGTGTGTAGGCAAGTAACTGAACTTGAATCCTCTTCCTAGCTTGGTGAACTTTATTATTTATGGGAGTATCTACATAGATTTCTTGGATTCCTATGTATGCAGGATGTATTTCATTAAGTCATCTGTACATAAGGACAGTGTTTTCCTTTCCAATCAGTATTCCTCCCTTATTTCCTTCTTTCTTTTCTGTCTTAATTCACTAGCTTGAATGTATAAGTAGGAGTGACTAGAATAGACATTCTTGCCTTCATTTCTATCTGGAGTAGCAGGCATTGGGTCTTTCAGCGTTGAGGGGGAGGCCTGTTACAGTATTTTTGTAAGTGCTTTTTGAGTTGAGAATGTGACGTTTCCACTTTCCTGGAGCCTTTTATTATTACAACATGTTAGTTTCTGTCAATGTTCTCTCACGTTTAGGTGCTGTGACTACCAAAGACTTGTTTTTGTGTTTAGCTGCTGATATGTTGGATCATATGGGTTGATTTTTTGTTGTTGTTGTTGTTGTTGAACCAGTTACATAAATGAAATAAGCCTCACTAGGTCATGATATATAATTCTTTCTTATATATCAGTGGTTTCAGTTTTTATCTCTGTCCATGAGATAGTTTTGTTTTTAAATCTGTGTATGTGGTGAGTGTGTATATGCATGTGTATATATGTGTAATGTGTGTGTAGGTTTCTGTGCACATGTGTGCAAGTGCATGTGGAGGTCAGAGGTTGATGCTGGTGTCCTTGATAGCTCTTCACCTCAAAATTAGGGCAGGGATTCTCACTTGAACTCAGTGCTTGCCAATTTGGTTAGTTTAGTTACCCAGCTTGCTCTGGATCTCTTGTCTCCACCTCCCACTTCTAGAACACTGGGATTATAGGCAGGACACCACACCTGCTTGGCGTTTGTGTGGATGCTGGGATCTGAACTCAGTTCCTCAGATCATCTGCCTTGGCGGATGTTGATAGATAGTTGTCTTACAGTTTTCTTTGCAGTGTCTTTGTCTAGTTTGGTTATCAAGTACTACTGGCCTCAGAATGAGTTTGAAGTGTTAAGTTTTCTAGAAGAAATTAGGGAAGACTATATTAATTCCTTAACTATTTAGTGGACTTCAATGAATCACTGGTTTGGAGATTTTTATTTTTGGGAGCATTTAAATTATGAACTTTAACTTTTTTTTAATGGTAGGAAAACTATTTGGATTAGCCATTTCATCTTTGTTGAGCTTTGGTAGTTTATGGTTTTTAAGTTTATTCACGTTTAAATTGTCAAAATGATAGTTACCACTATCAGTTCTTATTATCCTTTAAATGGCTACAAGGACTGTCCTAATGATATTTTTCTTTATCAGGCTTTCTAGGGAGTTTCATTATTATTGAGGTTTTTTGTTTTTTTTTTTCAAATTTTCATAGTTTTGCTTCATTGATCATTTTCTGTCATTTTTCAGGTTTTGGTTTCATTTTTTTTGTTTTGTTTTGTTTTCTTTTGCTTTGTTTTGCTTTTCTAGCTTCTTGAGACTGGAATGTGGATTATTGATTAAAGATTTTTTTCTATACATTTAGCATTTAGTTCTACTACGTCTATATAACTATGCTTTGATAAATCCTCAGCACGATTTTGTCAGCATTCTATGTATTTTTATATATTGTCATTTTCTTAAAGTTTTTGTTCTGAAACCTCCCCTGGGACTTCCTCTTTGATTTACTTAGAATTATGCTATTTTATTTCCAAATGTTTAGAGGTTTTTTGTTTTGTTTTGTTTTTGTTTGTTGTTTGTTTTTGGTGATCCTTTTGGTATTCGATTCTAGTGGATTCTACTATGGATTGGAATTATTCTCTGTGGTATTTCAGTTAGCATTAAGCAACTGTGAGGATAAGCTGAAATCCTGTTTTTCCTGAAAAGAATGTCCTCTGGCTAAAAGCTATGCAGAAGGGACCTAGCACTTTATGACTGTAGCAGTTTGGAGTAGAATCACCAATTTACTGAGCTGAGTGAGGGAAAAGAGAAATGGTCTTGGCTCAGATGTCACAGAATTTGACTTCAACTTTTAGGTTTGGTGGGGAGATGTTTCTTTGTTTGCTATTTGCCATAAGACCCCTTTCCAGAGTGTCTTAATTAGGGTTATTGTTGTGAAGAGACACCATGACCATGACAGTTTTTATAAAGGAAAACATTTAATGGGGTGACTTACAGTTTCAGAGGTTTAGTAAATTATCATTATGGTAGGACATATCAGCATGCAGGCAGACATGGTGCTGGAGAAGCTGAGAGTTTTACATCTTGATATGCAGGCTACAGGAAATGGTTTGTTTCACTGGGTGTAGCTGGAGCATATATGAGACCTCAAAGCTTACCTCCACAGTGAAACACTTCTTCCAACAAGGCCATACCTACTTGAACAAAGCCATACCTCCTAATAGTGCCACTCTCTTTGGGGGCCATTTTCTTTCAAACCACCATACAGAGCATTCTCCTTTATTGCATTGTATTTATATTTTGTGGGTACATGTGTGTATGTGCACATGTGCTGTGTGAGAGCATCCATTTGTGCATGCATGTGTGCCATGTTGTGCATGTGGAAGTCGGAATACCCCTTACAGGAATGGGTTCTCTTTCCACTGTGTGGGTCTTCAGGATGGAGCTCAGGTGGTCAGGCTTGATGTCAGTTCTTTTACCTGTGGAGCTATCCTGGGGTCCCCAGAGCCTTTAATGATGGTTGCTTTATAACTTCCATTAGTTCCATTGTTCATTCTATTGTGTGGATCGAAGAGCTCCTCATGCCATTGCACCAGGCATGGCTCTGCAGAATGGTTTAGTGCATTGAAATGACTGTCCTTTGGAGGGCAGCTTTCTAGGCCTGCCACTTTCTGAGAGGGTTGGAGTTCTTAAGAACTTCTTTGGAAATTTGTTTATTTGATTTGCTCTCTTTCTCATGGTCAGTTTTTAGAAATAATATTGCTTGAAATATTATTTGATACAGATTATCAGTTGATTTGCATAGGACTGAGTAGAGTTGTCTTTTGATTTTGTGAATTTTTTCTGTGTGGTTATTTCTTGGAACTTCTTTCTGCATGAGCGTTATACAGGATTATGGTTCATTAGTAAGAAATACTAGAAGTAATTTTTCCTTGTATAACCTCACTGCTTATGGTTCATTATATTCAGAACTATTTCCACAATACTTATTGAATTCTTGATGTGTATTAGATACTTTACAAATTTATTTAATCCTTACAATAGCCTTATAAGGCATATACTGAATGATTTTTATTTTGTAGATAAAAAATAGAATCACGAGAGTTAAGTTACTTAACTAATTATGCCCAAATACCATAATTTTAATTTCTTTCTTAGCTAATAGTTTATAATTACTTAAAGCTACTAAATCTGTAGAACTATTTCTTTCCTTAATATCTCAGCTTAAATCCCCGCCTGTATTAGATACTTCCTTGTTGTTGTGAAAGAAGCCATTTAGGAAAGGAAGAGTTTACTTTGCCTTGAAGTTAGAAGATCACGGTGGGCAAGTAACGGTGGCAGGAGCTTGAGGCAGCTGGGCACAGTGAGTCTGAAGTGAGGCAGCAGAGGGTGGGCAGTGCTCCTGCTTGGTTCCTGTTTTCTTTTTAGTCAGGATCAGAGTCCATGGGACAGTGCAGATCTCCCCTCCTTAATCTAGACTGGAAAATCCCTCCAGGCATTCCCAGAGGTTTGCTTCCATGGTGATTCTAAATTCTGTCAAATTGACAGTCAAGATAAACTATCACACTACACCAAAAATAATACAATTCTTAATTTTCTCTATGAGAATGTTTTATGTATGTCTTCAAAAGATTAGTGGTGGAGAAATGCCACTAAATTTTTCTTCTTTAGTTACCACTGATTTAGAACTGTAACTAGATCTCATACTTTTTAATGAATACTTTATGTTTGGAATGCCAATGTAAACATCATAGCATTGTAAATATAAAAATTTTTAAATGTTAAAAAGTCCCAACATCCATAACATTTTTATTGTATTTATTGTATATTACCTTTGAGTTCTTTTTCACATGCATGTTTTATATAGTTACAATACATGGATGTGGCCTTTTTTGGCATTCTATATTTGGTAAAGCAAGTTATTAAAATGCTTCTTTAGAAAGCTATTTTAGGACTTTAGGATATAGCTTAGTGGTAGAACACTTACCTAGTATGTCTGACTCCCTGGGTTCAACAGTATTAACAACAAACAAACAAAAACAAGAAAAGAACTTTAAGCTGGGCATGGTGGCACACATCTGTAATCCTAGCACTCAGGAGGCAAAGGCAGTAGACTCTGTTGTTCCAGGTCAGGCTGGACTACTCACTGAGTTCCAGGCCAGCACTGGTTATATAATAAGACCCTATCTCAATACAAAACAAATGAAAGATGAGACGGCCATTTAAAAAAAAAATCAAACAAAAACTGTTCTTAGCCTGTTAAGTTTTTATCAGCTTATTATGTCAGCTCTGAGTCATGAAGTCTTGGTTGCTGAGAATCTGGAAGGGCTGTGTGGACTGCTTGTGATCGGCTTTATGCTAGTCTCTTCTTCTCAAGTATTTGTATGGAACAGATTTGCTCTTGCTAACTGGTTTGAAAGCTCATATGTTCACCGCCATAGATAAAAGTCCAGATTTAGTTTTCTTTAAGAAATCTGTTGATATAAAATTATAGCTGCATTCTTGAATTGGGAGAATTTAGGAAAGAGGCATTTGAGCAATGAAAGCATAGAGTTTCATCAGTGTTAAAAAAGGATCTCTAGAGTAAGACTCAATAAATGTGTGTGACTATTGCCCTATTGGGCCAAGTGACATTCTTTGAAAATTATTTGTACTGAGATTTATCTTTTTTCTTTCAAAGGTGTTAAAATCATCACACAGCAGGTTCAACCAAGTAAAATCTTACCCAAACCAGTGACTGCAACTCTACCCACCAGTAGCAATTCCCCTATTATGGTGGTTAGCAGTAATGGTGCAATTATGACAACTAAACTGGTAACTACTCCTACCGGTAAGTCTCACAAGCATCAGTCCATTCAGTCCTAAGTCATCAGATAACTTCCCATACCAGCGGTGTGTTGACATTGCATATCTAAAAGTTCATGAGACAGTTCTACAAAGAAGTCTTTTTTATTTTGTTTTGAGACAGAGTCTGTGGCCTAGAACTCTGTATGTAGCTGAGGATGACCTTGAACTCATATTTGATCCTCCTGTCCCCACCTTCTGAGTACAAGGATCATAGGTGTGGGCCACCACACAGGTTTATCAGGTGTATAGTTTTCAAAAGGTCTTTCTTGACTCCCTCAACTCCTGTCCTGACCCCTGAAGTTAGCTCTCTCTGATTTTTTTTCATAGTCCTCTGTTATTTTTCTTTATTGCAGTTACTCCAGTTTCTACTTATCTAGTTGTTTGAATTGTTTTATCTGTATTAGACAATAAGCTTTATGGGATTAAGGGAACAAATCCGTTTATTCCCTATATGTAGGTGCTCAGTCAGGATTTGCTGAGTAACTGAAAACATACCCAACTCACAAGGATGTTACTCATAAAAGTCTGTGTTCCATTACAGTGTAGTAAGGGCTGCCTAGACTGATGGAAGCATGCCGTCGTTCCCAGATAGACAAGCAATCAATTTGTGCTAGAGGTAGTAACAAAGAAGAGCATTTTAAATGACCACTCTTTGTGAACTTTGTTAGTGTTAAATGATATCCAGTCAGGAGCTAAGGAGATAGCTCAGTGTGTAAAAGCACTTGTTAAAATGCAAGTGTAAGGACCTGAGTTCAAATTCCTAGAACCTACATAAAAGCCAGACCCATAGCAATACTGGGTCATGTTTCTGTGTTTACAGTGCAACAGTGTTTCTTCCTTTCTTTTTTTATTTTTTAAGTAGAAGTTTTTGTTTTTGTTAAAATTCAAAGCATTCAAACTTTATACCCCTGTACTATGTACTTTACTTTGCACTAGACTTTTCTTCTGGTTCAGATATATTCTGTGATCAGACTAATTCTTCTTAATGTTCCTCTTATGCTTATAGTGGTTATAAGTTTTTAAAGTAAGTGACTTCCTAACCTAAAGGTATTTTTTTCTGAGGTTGGGTATTTTGAAAATGTCTGTTACAGTGTTCTTGGAATCTCACTTCAGTTTAAGCAAATGCCATCTTAGTCTTTTCTCCGTTTCCTCTTAATTTTTCTTGAGGCTGATTTTTCTTATAGGACTAGTCTTTCTGAGTTACTGGGTTTATAAGAAACTGCAAAAGACTCATCTGATTAGTTTTTAATCCTTTGTGAAAGAGAAAAGTCATAGAAATAGTAGGAAAGGGTATAAAATCTTTTGAGAGAGATGGAAAGATAGATTTCCTAATAAGCCAGTTAAAGTTGAGGAATTATGTAAATAGAGATAATTTTAGTCTAAAAACTGTTCCTGGCAATTCTTGGCAGTTTCAACTATATCTCTAGTAAAATGATAGGATGATCCTTTAAAAGATGGAAATTTCACTGGGCGGCGGTGGTGGCACACACCTTTAATCCCAGCACTCGGGAGGCAGAGGCAGGCGGATCTCTGAGTTCGAGGCCAGCCTGGTCTACAGAGTGAGATCCAGGACAGGCACCAAAGCTACACAGAGAAACCCTGTCTCTAAAAAAACAAAAAATAAACAAACAAAAAAAGATGGAAATCTCTTTAGAGAGTAGCAGGTAAAAAACAGAAAAGTTATAAAATTTTAAATAAATATTGCCTTATTTGCTGAATGGTGACATTAACTTTTGCTTTGGGCCAGTATCAGCCAGACACAGGGACCTTAAGTAGCTGTAACAGAGACGCCTACAGTGCTCTGGCATCAAGATAGCAGGAGAAGGGGGAGGAGGGCCTACCTTTTCTTGGGCTGGTAATTTGATGCTGCAACACATCACAAAGTTTTATGTGTAAAATTAATTTGAATCAACTTGGCATTGGTTTTTGCTATACACATTGAAAACTGGCTGTAAAGTTGTAAATGAATTTCTTGACACCTTACAATTCCATTTTCAAGTTAAAGTGATATATATGACATTGAACTATAGTAAAATTGTACAATTATCATTCTTTTTATAAGTTAAACATTTTTGATAAATTTTCTTTTCACTACTTTTCTTCTTATAGGTACTCAGGCAACCTACACCCGGCCAACAGTGAGCCCATCCTTAGGTCGAGTAGCCACAACCCCTGGAGCTGCAACCTATGTGAAAACTACCAGTGGTAGCATCATTACTGTAGTACCCAAATCATTAGCTACCTTGGGAGGCAAGATAATTAGCAGTAATATTGTTTCTGGTAGGTATGTCTAGAATATGTTAAAAGCATGGTGATTTTCGGTTGGAAGAAAAGCCAAGTTTCTCTACAGCAGGACTCTATTAAACACCAGGTTTTGCTTCAAAATTTGACACTTTGTTTTCAGTCCTTATAATGTAATGATTAAACACAGCTTTTGGTAAGTCTAAAGTTGAAAGAGCATTGAGTTTTAAGTCACAGTGCAAAATTATGGTTTATGTTTGCATAGGGATTTTTCATTTAAAAAATAGTCTCACATTTGTCAGCCCTTTTAGACTCTATATAACTTGAGGTATCGTGCCAACTTTACAAATGGACACATGAGGATTTAGAGGTAACATGAAGCTGTCCCATGTTTGCAAAAAGGATCATGGAAGAACCTGTATTTGCATCTGAATATGTTTCAGGAACATAGTTCGGATTTTCAGTTACTAATGTCACTTTAGCTATTAAACATAAAATATTTGAATATCTTTGTTTTTCACCATTTGTGATGTTTACTTTTTAAAAATATTACTGAGATAGTAAAACCAGCTCTCTGCCTATTTATTGGTATGTTGGAACAGTACCTGGTTTTTATTGGCTCGTTAATCTTTACAGTATTTGGGTTGTAGATTCTGAAGTAGAATATTAATGTGGCATTTGTTTTCATTGATTATTATTTTTAATTAAAATTATGTAAATGATCTGACTAAGCAAGCTTTGTGGATTTTCTCTGTCTACTATTTTTGTAGACTAGTCATGTTTTGTCTGCCCCGGGTGAGTTGTTCTAACATTTTTAAAATGAAAGGAATAAAGTTTCTGGCAGTATTTGATGTTGCTGATAACTCAGAGAATGGAAAAAAGCAGAACAGAGCATGGTGTTGGCATAAAGCTCTGTATTCAAAGCTGTTAATTTTGGCTCCACTCTTAAGTGTAAGTGAGAAAACCCAGTGCTTGCCAACCTGAGGAGGGTGAGAAGAGAAGGGAAGGATCATTGTGCTGTAGCTTTTAAGTGGATATATAAGGAACACAGTTAATACTCTAATTTATCATTTGATAGTATCTTTAAATAGTCTAAAGCTCTTGCTCAAACACATTTCAGAAAGTTGACTTCATTGGAAGGTAGCTTTTTAAGACCTTGAACAGATTTTTACATTTATCTGAGTTCATAGTACTGTATAGCTTGCAGGTATGTTTAGATATCATGAGGTCTCTTTTGGGACCTTCATGGTGTAGCTGTTCTGTACTAGATTAGAGTCATGTCAGTACATAATCCTAGAAGCAGAGGTTTGATCTAATATCTATGTATATTCTCTCTCTCTCTCTCTCTCTCTCTCTCTCTCTCTCTCTCTCTCTCTCACACATACACACACACACACACACACACACACACACACACACACATATGCACTCACCTTTGTATTAAAGATGAAACTGCTCAAGGTTAGTTGCTATTTCAAAGTGAATGAGTGGTTCTACATGAGTAGAATTATTAGAATTCTCCAGCTTTCTAACACTCTAGGATATATTGACATAGAGTTAAAACAGTTTAATTTGGTGTCAAATACTTTTACCTACTGAGCCATCTTTCTGGCTCCCATTTCCCAATCTTTATTTTTAAAAAAAATAGTGCTTTTCTTTTCTTTATATTCTTGCTCTCCAATGACATTGAGATCATAGTATAGTAATTTTAAAAATCTACTTATCACCAGCTGGTAGCCTGGTTGAACAAATTTAGATAATTTTCCACCTTCATCTGTGAGCAGGTGGTGGATTGATTTTTCTCTTCCCCACACAAAAGAACTATTTTTGCTAAAACATTCTCAGACATTCAGCTGTAAGAATAGAAGACTTTAAAACAAAAACAAAAGATTTTTCCTCTCATTGTTGGGAAATTTAGAAAGCTGCAAGCAACATTAAGATTTCATAATGTTTTGTGTAAATGTTTATATTATAATTTAAAATTTTATTTTTTTATTAACAGTTTAAATATTTTCCCATATCGGTAAATGTATTTTAATCACCCAGTGGTTATGTAATATTTCCCTGTGTACCATAATTTAATCATATTTTTACTGTTGAGTGATTTAATTGTTTACAGATGTGGGGTTTTTGGCTTTTAGATTTTTTTTTCTTATTGGTTATTATAAATAATCTTGTGGTGAATATATATATTTTTTGCGAAGCTCTTGCTTCCTTTGTATAACACATTAGGAGGCAGATTAATTTTTCCATAGTACTTTCTAGAAAAGTTGTATTTTTATTTTTATTAGATGGAACAAATGGAAACTATGTTATTTATATGCATATATATCAGATAACTTTCATATATACACACATGTAGTGAATATTGTTGAATTTTGATTGTAGAAACATACTCATTTTATGCAGAAGTTTGGTTCCTTCAGAGATGAATTAATTGTCTTAACTTTAAGGGCATTTTGAGGACCTGGGGCAAGACTTGCTTGTGACTCATAATCTTTCAATGTCTAGCAAGGAGCTGCTGTTTGTATACTTTTTTGTTTATTTATTGAATTATTCTTTGGGCAAAGCAGCATAAAACATTACAAAGAAATCAAGATAGAGTGATTTAAGAATCTATGGATAGTAGTATCTAAGCCAATAAATTTGTTAAGTCAGCGTACCCTAGTATTCACACACATACCCCCCCCCCTTGGGATGCCTAGCAAACACCTTGCCAGTGAGAAGCACTCCTCAGTACTCCTCTCCCCACCCCATTCAGCGTTATATTTTGAATCAGGCTCTTGCTGAGTTGCTCAGGCTGACCTAGAACTTGCAATCCTTTTGCTTTAGTCTCTGGAGTGGTGTAAGTTTACACCACCAAACCTGGCTATAATCGTTTTGATTTTTTTCACAATTTGTTGTTACTGTTGGAGACAGGATCTCATATATTTCAAGCTTGCCTCACACCAGCTGTATAGCCTGAGCTGTCTTTGAATTTGCAGTTCTTTTTTCTCTGTGGTTTACAAGCATCCCCTGCTACCCCCACCTCCAAAAAAAGAAAAGAATCTTTGGAATTCATCATCAGAGAGCCCATTGTGATCCAAATGTGATTGTTACTTGGTTCAATTTTATTTATTTATTTATTTTTACCCTTTTTAAGTATAGTGTCTGTTGGTAGGTTCTCTGAAATGCCAGATTCTATCTGGGGTACTGTGATACATAAACATGTACACAGGATTCAGTATGTGCCCTAAAAAAATGCTAAATGGGTCGGGAGGTTGTGGTGCACACCTTTAATTCTGGCACTCAGGAGGCAGAGGCAGGTGAATCTATTTGAGTTTGAGGCCAGCCTGGTCTACAGAATTCCAGGATAGCCTCATTGTAACACAGAGAAATACTGTCTTAAAAAACAAAAACAACAACAAAAATATTTGGAGCTGGAGAGATGGCTCATTGATTAAGAGCACTGGCTGCTCTTCAGAGGACCCAGTTTCAATTCCCAGCACCCACAATGGCAACTCTCACTGTAACTATTTCCAAGGTGACCCAACACTCTCACACAGACATACATGCAGGTAAAACACCAATGCACATAACAAAGATTTATGTGCTCCACTTAAAATATCCACAGAAGGCAGGTGTGGTGGCACACACCCTTTAATTCCCCGCACTTAGGAGGCAGAGGCAGGCAGATCTGAGTTCAAGGTTAGCCTGGTCTACAGAGTGAGTTTCAGGATAGCCAAGGCTACACAGAGAAATCCTGTCTTCAAAAACTGGGGGATGGCGGTAGGGATAGGAGTGTTGAGGGGGTGAGGAGAGAATGCTAAATGGACTACAGATGAAGCTCAGAGGTAGAACAGTTGCCTAGTATGAGCAAGGTCCTGGGCTTGATTCCTGGAACTACAAAAGAAAACAAAGTTTAAAAACCCAACTAAAGAAAAACAAGGATGCTAACTAGCTTCTGCAGGTTCCATTGTATTGTGGAAACTATAGATCCACTACTATGAAAGCCTAGCTTTGCATAGATTTCTCCTTAGGTGAAACATGCACACTGGAATTTCATGCATTTAGTACTAGTCATTCTAGAAAAGGATGGTGTTCCAGTTTATTAATATAATGTTATACTTATTATTTCCTGTTAGTCCTTTTTTTCCCATTTTGAATTATTGTCTCCCCCAACCCCCATTCATTAAACTGGTAGACTTTATTTATGACTGTCTCCTAAATTGATAAACCTTTATAATGGAAGGGGTAGATATTTTAGTACATATAAATAAATCCAGTTGCTAAGCAAGTTTTATCTTAAACATAAGTAGTGGGAAGCCTCATAGTTTGCTGTCAGTTTATGTTGCCTGTGAACAGGAGGAACTAATATTGTTAAATTGGTAGATTAAGGGCCTGAACCAGTGTAAGCTGCTATTTTTGTTTATTGGTTTTAATATTTGTTTTGAGGGATGGGGTACTGAGATCAGAGGACAGCTTGCATGAGTTGGTTCTCTCCTTCTACCCTGTGTGGCCTAAAGATTGAATTAGTCATCAAAGCATGGCGGGCAAGTGACTTAGCCTGCTGTGCCATCCTGTGAGCCCACATGGAGATTGTGACATTCAAGAGTGAAAGTTGAAACTAGATGTAGTGGGGATTGGGAATACTCTTTAAAATCAATTGAAGCTGTTTCAGATTCTTGATGTAAAAGGTTTCACTTAGGAGATTGGGTTTGGTGTGGACTATCGAAACTGTATGACAGAGAAGCTTGAGACGGAGAAACAGGGAGGAAGAGGAGAGCAGTGCTGACTGCGCTTGCATGGACACCATTATTTATCTGTTTGTTTGTATTTATTTTTTTACGTTTTATAAAATCTTCATTGACAAATAATTCACATAGTATACAATTTGCCTGTTCGCACAGTTTGATAGACCTTAGTCCAGCATCCTCATAGGCCCATGACAACATCACCACTTTCTATTTTAGAACATCGCTGTCTTCTATTTCATACGCACATATAATGTATGGTGATTACATTCCACCTTATTTTTTTTAAATGAACATAATATTTGCATTTGTAACAATTTTTAAGTTCACAATTCAGTGGCATGGATTATATTCATTTTTTAAAGAAGATATGTTACTGATATACTGAAATCATTCATATATGTAATAAACAATTTCAAAGTAATTGCCACCCTCTGTGCTAAACACCGAGCCATCAGTGACAAGAAAAGGTCACATGTTGTCAGGTGCAGGGAGTCAAGACAAGGCCGGAATCCACGGTTTGTGCCAGCTCTTCTAACGTGGACAGTTAGAATAGAGTGCATAAATTTGGTAGTAGACAGATTTGAAGATGGGAGGGAAGCAGACTGCAGAGGAAAGGCCGCTAGATGTTCTTGTCAGTACATTTATACACTTAGAAAGGAGATCTTTTATCTATCTTATAGAAAATTAGGTTTCATTACACCATTTTCAAACAAAAATTACTTGTGTTTCTTTACCCTCTTGTGTCCCATCCCTGTCCCTCCCTTTCCCCTCCTACTCCCAGTAGTAGCCCCCTTTGCACTTTGATGTCCCATGTGACCTTTTGTTCTTCCCTCTGCCTTTCTTAACACCTGTTCATCCTCACAGCCCCTTATTTTCATGCATCTAGGATCCAAATTTGAGGGAGAGAATGAGATGCCTTTTTCTCTCAGACTGAATTACCTCATTTACATTATAAGGAAGTAGATCTTAATGACTGAAAACAATTTTACCCTGTCAGTCGACTTCCTCCTTGCAGTCTCTAGAGTTGTGCACACTCAGAAGCACATATTGACTGCCACTTGGGCTACACATCTGTGTTCACTTTTTTTTTAAATTCAGTTTGGTTTTCTAAGGTTAGGCTCTCACTCTACAGTATAAGCTGGTTTAGAACTCACAGCCCTCCTGCCTGGACCTCTCAAATGCTGGGATTACACACGTTCACTACTGTACACAACTGTCTTTTTGTACATCTTTTTGTACATTTTTTCTACAATTTAGTGAATCTTGATGTTTGCCTTTAATGTTCCTATTTTGAAGAGCTTTTCCATCATGCTGACCACATAAATTTAATAATTAGATTTGAGGGAAACACATGTCATAAGATTTTTGTTTATTTTTAGGAAAGAGTGTTGATAGGGAAATGGACAGTGATATTTTTAGATTTGGAATTTGGTGTGTAGGTCCTCAGATTTTCAAAAGAGGATTACTTTAAGACTCACTTCTTGCTGGGTATGGTGGTACATGCCTTTAATCCCAGCACTTGGGACTCGGAGTTAGAAGCAGGCAGATCTCTCTGGGTTCTAGGTCAGCCTGGTCTACATAGTGAATTCCAGGCCAGCTGGAAACCCTGTCTCAAAAACCTTAATAATAATTTTTTTAAAAAAGTACATTCTTAATATTTATCATTCTGGGGTGATTCAGAATTTACTATTCCAAGCCTTCTTTTTTGTCCTTAGGACCACATTCACGTCACCTAAAGGTGACATTGTTTAAACATATTACTTGTATACATCATAAACAGGATCAACCAAGTATCACTAGTCCTTAACTCAGGCCTCCTTTTCTTCCCACTTCTCTAAGGAACGACTACCAAAATCACTACAATCCCAATGACTTCCAAGCCCAATGTGATTGTTGTACAAAAGACTACAGGAAAAGGAACGACCATTCAAGGCCTCCCTGGCAAAAACGTTGTCACAACATTGCTAAATGCTGGAGTAAGTAAGACCTTGAACGCACTAAGTAATCCACTAAGCATTTTTTAAAAATTATTTATTTATTTTATGTTCTTTGGTGTTTTGCCTAGATGTATGTCTGTGTGAGGGTGCTGGATCCCCTGGAACCAAAGTTACAGACAGTTGTGAGCTGCCATGTGGTTGCTGGGAATTGAACCTGGGTCCTCTAGAAGAGCAGCCAGTGCTCTTAACTACTGAGCTATCTCTCCAGCCCTCCACTAAGCATTTTAAAGGCCATCTATACAAACATTTTTTTTTTTAAGAACATCAGAACCCCATAGTGGATGGAACGGCTTGATTCTCTAGTGCTGTGATAGAATAACCTTTATCCATCATCAACTGATGACATTTTTCACAGTAATCTGAAAGCATGTTGCTCACAGCTGCTCATAGCAAGGTGGCTTGTGACCATGGTTTGAGTGCTTAGTTTCATTCAGATGGAGAATTCCACTGGCTTAGCTGCAGGAAGACTTGCAACAGTTTTATTCCTGCTTATGGCCGGTAGTAGATAAGCATTTGGTTTAGGCTAGACAAAGAAATATTTGAGTTTAAGATAAAATTGATAGATTGGGGTTTGTTACTTAAGGTTTGTTGCTTATTCCTCCCTCCATTTCCCCCATTTTATGCTCTAAAGGCAATTGTGAAGAGGCTGGAGTTAGACACATTTAGGCTTTGTGTCTTACTATTTTATTTGACCTTGGGTGGCTTATTTAACCACTGTAATCTTTTATTTCTTCATGTTTACATTGGGGGTGATGGTGGGTGTTTTGAAAGTGCTTAGAACAGTGTCTAACAATACATGAGAAGTTCTGTCATTGTTTTCTTACTGTTCTTGGTATTTAAGCACTCAGGCTACTTTTCTGACCTCACTAGAAGACAGAGATCTTTCATATAAGTAGATTATAAAAGCTTATGTATCACAGTCTTTTATAATGCTGAAAGTGGTCCACATTAGGGCTCTTTTGAATTTACATAGCAATTCAACAGGAAAGCCAGAATTCTGTAGTACTTGGATTTATAGCCGTGTGGTGGTAGCTCACACCTGTAATCCCAGCACTTGAGATGCAGAGGCAGGCAGATCTCTGTGAGTTCCAGGCCAACCTGGTCTGCAAAGCAAGTTCCAGGACAGCCAGAGTTGTTACCCAGAAAAACCCTGTCTTGGAACCCCGCCCCCCTCAAAGGGTATGTTATCTGCTACGAGAGGTCTAGAGTCATGTGCGAATTTTGTCTAGTAGATGCTTGAACAGCAGTTTGGCAGGCAATGCTAGTAAACCGAATAGATATATCTATGGGACCATTGTTAGCAGCACACAGAACACGTGTTTACACTCCCCACCTGCATCCATGCAGGCCTACTACACATGAGAGGAACTTTCTCAGATGACATCCTGGTTTTGTTTGGGTCACAGTACTTGGAGAGGCTGTCAAGCCATTTACAGGTCAGCATGCCACATACTTGCAAACTGGTGGCTGTTGGAAGACAAATCAGAACTCTTTCTGGGAACACTGCTGCAAACAGTATGTGAGAGTTGAAATAACCACCTGATTGGAAACACTTTGTTTCCTTTTGATAATTGTAGCTGATAGTTAGGTTTATAATCTTCAGGCTCAGATTTAGATATGAATTCTCAATGGTTGCTTTTTTGACAGCTCACCTGGTTGCTTTCAGTTTACCAACTGCTCAGTTTGAAAAAAAAAAGCTGCACGTCTATGATGATGATAGCTAAAAATTAAGAAAATCGCTAATGTGAAAACTGCTAACTCTTAATTTTATGAATTTTAATTTAAAATTATTGATAAAATTACTATATTTGAATTTAATTCAGTTAAATTCAAATAGAACTATGCTGAGATTAAAACTGTCATCAGAAAATGGTACTTCAGAAAAAAACAAAGGGCGAGGATATGGATTAGTGGTAGAGCATTTACCTAGCATGTATGAAGCCTTGGGTTCGATTTCTAGCAACACACATACACCACACACACACACAGAGGGAGAGAGACAGACAAACAGAATAAAGCAGGTGAAAATTCAGAAAATGGTGAAAGGCTTGAATCTGTAATAGACTAAAGTGATATTAGTAACATACTAGTAAACCATGAGAAGTGCTTTATGTTTTCCCCCTTTCTTCCTGTAACCTTAGAAAGAATGTTAATTCTTTGCTCTTTTCATCTTCCCCATACTTCTTTTTATAGACATCCTGCTGTATACCTTTATAATTTCATATATGCTCGACTTATTTTGTATGTGTATGTTTATCTGCTGATATTCTGCACAGTTTTTTATTATGTAAATATTGACTTCAGGTATATTAAAAAGTGAAAATGAGTGTGGGAGATGACCTATAATTTCAGCTTTCAGACATAACAATTGTTAACATTTTAATATATGTTCTTCCAGACATTTGTTTTAATATA